GTCATCATCTGAATATGGATCCACATGCTACACTTTACTCACTTATCTAAGTCGTTAACCGAGCTGAACGCAAAACGAGATGTTTTCAGCCTCCCTGATATCAGTTTTCTCTCACTCACCCCAATATGCGGTGGAAGACCGAGAATAATGGCACAGTTTCTCGTACTGTATGGGATCTGAGTCATACAAACAGACAAATGAAGTGCATAGCCACAACGAACCATATTTCATAAAAACTAAATGACTAATCTAATGCATAGAAATTGGAATAATAAGGCTCAACATTTGATTTCACTTAACATGCATTTATTGCGAAACTATGAGTAACATGGAGGAGTTAATAAAAATCTCTACGATTGAGTTATATGACCGCTACCCAGTTACACTTTAAATAGAACATAGAGATGGGACCTGCCACTACTGATAAGGTTGAGAAGACTTTAAGTAACACGGAAATTCGGCAAGCAGCAGATCACGATGAGATTGGATGAGATGTATTCAAGGACTGTGACGGGAGTATAGGTTAGAACACCTGAAGTGCCTACTGGGGTATGACAATTAAATATGATCGCCTCTGACTGGTCTCGATAGCTAGTTGCCCATGTCTTCAAGAAAGGCGAAAAATCCTCTTGTTGTGAGCACTGAGGAATCAACATGGCTGTGATTTGAGGTTGTGCAATCATCAGGCACCTAAGCGATGCTCGCAGATGCGAAACACGAGAAAACCAGGAACTCATCACATCTGGCTGTAGGTGTATAAAGCATATAAATCTTCATCCTCTGTAACACGGTGGAAGGAAAGTACACTTATCGGACCCTTAAACTGGTTGAATTTTATGACATGGTTTCCACATTTAACTTTATCAATCAAAAGTACTTACCGCAGCTTGTCTCATAAAAAAGGGTACATGATGAGTACATTACTCTGTTAACGCTATATTTTCAAACACGCATTGACTTATCTGAAGCCTATGGGGATGTATTATGTGAGTGATCTACATCAAATGGTACCCGTCAGGGATATGCGCTTAGACTAGACCTTGTCATACAAGTGATTTTGGGGATTTTCGTCTAACTTTTTGAATTTACATTAACGACTCCCTCCTAGGAAAGGAATATTTCTGGGATCCCGACCGAAGTGGAAAATGCGTTGATCACTGTTAGTGAAGTTGCATCAGTGCATATTCGCTGTTTTTTTGTTGTTAAATATCAGCTCAAATTGGAATATCTTTTTCGCCGTTCACCACCTGTCTATCATTACTGGGAAGGGGAAGATAATCAGCCATATATAAAAGGGTTGATATACTATCCAGCAATTCACTTGATCTAATTGTTCCTTTTTGAGAGTTGGACGCATACCGTAGAATGTACGAAGAGTTTGCAGGTTTCTGACCACAGATGTCTTCGTAGCATTGCTTACACTTAGTGGGATCACCGTTGTAGCGATATTGAGGTCAATTCTATATTAGCAGATGAAGGAATTAAGTCAGTTTATTGTGTTGCCAACCTGAATTGATACAGGGAGGCATGTATTGCGCATAAAGATCCATCACTACACGTAACTTGTCAATCACCGTTAACCGAAGCAGGGTTTTACTGGACGAAATCTATATGTGGGTTTAGATGTTTTATTTGCATTGGGAGTAGAATATGGTGTTCACCGGTTACAGCACGTTGTCGTGGTACGATTTATTTTACACTTCATAAATCCGTCACAGTGATAAGCTGGTAAATTTGGTTGGATAATTCTAAATCTTGAATTCTAGTGAAACGATCATTTTAAGTGACCATATTTTCCCTTTTTATTTTTTTATTTTCATTAACCTAGATGTTCCCGACCGATAGCTGCTACCTTGACGTGGTGGTCGGGCTTGCATATCACAATGACCCAACGAGATATGCTGGTGGAACGCTTGTTCCCTCGAGGTCACACCATACCAGAAAGGTCTGTTGGATAGTGGTTAGATGAAAAGCAGTTACCGTTATAGTGTAAATTGCTACACTATGATGGGGTCTGAGGACGAAGTCGTGCTCCTGCTAGCTGGATGGGGTGTGACAGCAGTAAGGTGTTTCCCTTGGATGACCTGACCAGCAGTGCCATGCTGATGCTGCCTTCTCAGTGGAAGGGGGAGGGTTAGAAAAGGTCGGCCCCAAAAATAACACACTCCACCATACCCCACGGTCTGTCGGGCCGGCGGTGTTGGTTCACTTGTTATTTCCTTTCGACCATCCGGCCCCAAAAATACAAAAGTTCAAAATAATCATACTCAAAAGACTGCATGTGACAGGCCTCAAGCAGATGTCCGATGGGCTCTGCGGTAACACAAATCTCTTTCAGGTACCTTAAGAAGAAATAGCTTTCCACGGTGTGGGCAGCCGGGAAGTGTCAACCGCCCTCACAACTCAATCAGAACTCAAGTTTCTTCTGACTGCTATCCACCCCCTCCATCATTACCTTCTAATCTTCCTCCACCTCTCTCAGCTAACAATACTACATCATTTTCAATTTCTCCTACCTCTGTAGCCTTCGACAACGACCTGAGTCCACAGAACAGCATCCTTGGTCTCCTAATACCACGCTCCAAATTACATATTGTAGCCTTCAATGTCCACACCCTCCGTCAAATTGGTCAACAGGCTTCGTTGGTAAAGGCCATCGATATGTGCTGTGTTTGTGAGACACGCATACAGGACCCAAGTGTGGTTATTCACCTGACCTCTCCTAGCCAATCTGGTGAGTCCGCGAAATTCACTCTTCCAGTTTCTGGAGATTCGATAGCTAGCTCTCGTGGTCTTGCAGGTGTAGGCATAGCATTAAGCACTAGGGCAGAAAACTCACTACTAGACTGGATCCCAGTTGATAGTCGCCTCTGCGCTATCCAGCTGAACGGCACAGTAAGAACTAAAAGGAATAGTGAGACTCGCCGTTGTCTCTTTGTAATCTCTGCTTACGCACCCACTGACTGTAGTTCAGATGAAGTGAAGGACGAGTTCTACCGAAAACTGTCTAACCTCCTCTCGAAAGCCAAAAGTTCAGACGTGGTGGTTGTTGCAGGTGACCTCAACGCACAGGTGGGTAGACTGAGTGAGGCAGAGAGGCACTTAGGTGGCACTTTCGGAATACCGGCTGAACGTATAGATAACAGTGATCGCCTACTACAAATGTGCTCAGATAACCACCTATTTTTAGCCAGCACAAATTTCAGACATAAAGAAAGACACTGTCTCACCTGGCATCCACCAACCTCAACTCAGCGATGGACACAGATAAACCACATTGGTATCAGTCATCGCTGGAGAGGATCAGTGGAGTACGTGTTTGGATAGCGACCACGCGTTGGTCCGAGCGCGTACATGCCTGCGTCTCAATGGACATAAAAAAATTTGGCAACAAAACCACTACGAGTGCTGCTGGACAACGGAAACACCAAAGCCGTGTTCAGTGAGAAGTTGACTAGACAGTTATCGGAACAAAAGACCATCACTCATCCAGAAGAAGCTTGGTGCCATCTTTAGTCTCCTGTAAGAGCAGCTTTGAAGACCGCAGCCGACTCCAAAATAGTGGCTAAAAAGAGCCAGTGGATATCAGCAGCTTCTTACCAACTAATGGATGCACGTGAACGCCTTATGGAGGTTTCCCTCTCGTCTCCTAATTACACAGACGTTGACACAATCACAGGTGAGTTTTCTTTAGATCTAGAATATGCAGATGACATAGTCCTGTTAGGTGAAGACGCTGACAAGATGCAGAGTCTTCTGAACACTTTGAGTGGGAATTTGAGAATGTTTGGGATGCGATTTTCACCACCCAAATGCAAATTTTTGCTCCAGGACTGGTCTTCAGCGGTACCGCGGCTAACAATAGAGAGTGAAGTGGTTGAGTATATTGTCCACTTCACTTACCCGGGAAGTAGGATCAACCTTGGTGGGTTAGTTGCCGATGAGATCTCTGCAGGGATACAAAAGGCTCTATCGGCTCTTGCCAATTTGCGCCACCTATGGCGCCGCCGTGATATCCCTTTGTCTGTTCAGGGTCGCGTGTACTGCACAGCAGTCCACTCTGTTCTACTCTATGACTGTGAAACATGGCCATTCAAAGTGGAAGATATGAGAAGGCTTCAAGTGTTTGACCACCGTTGCCTTCGTACTATAGGCTGTATTCCGTGGTGTCACCACGTGAATAACGCAAACGTCAGGTATAGAGTTTTAGGGAGAAGAGGAAATCAGTTGACGAGGTCATGAACCTTCATCGACTGAGATGGTTGGGACACGTGTTACGTATGTCTAGTAGCCGATTGCCTCGTCACACAATGTTGGCTGAAGTAGGTCCAGGCTGGAAAAAGGCCTGAGGTGGCCAGACTAAATCATAGCACCAATGTATGAAGTCTCTGACTGTTGGTTTGAGTCATGTGGGGCGATGCAGACTAGGTGGTCTGGGTCAGCGGGACAAGAGGAACCAGTGGCTCAAGACTCTACGTGTGTGGCTCAGAACTGATGTCAGTGGCGCAGATGTATACACACACTATCATCATCTTAACGACGCCATACTGAATCTCGCCATTTTGTCATTCCTCCTTTCTTTCTTCTCGTACTTTATATTTCTTTTGACTGCATCCTCTTATCTTTATCCTGCACCTCACTGCCTTTTTACCTGATGAACTGACGTGAGGTGTGGCAACTCGGACCGGTACGCAGTAATGCTTGGTCCTGTGTTGATAATGATGATGATGATGAAGCTGTTTAGGACAAGTGATTTTCAGTGTCTTAAGAAATATGAAAAATCATGTAAGATTTAAGCGTATTTTAGTGTTTGATTAACATAACCGTATTTATGACTATTAGTGTAAGCTTTGTCGTTCAAAGTTTATTTCGTTTTGGCATTGCTTAACGACATGTGATTTGGTATAAGTATATTTATTCACAGTATGCATGAACATGTTCTTTTCTGAAATAGCATTTTGAAATGTTTATTCTCTAAGCCTTACGTTTTATTTTTTTAGATTATTACCATTAGCGCTAAGGAAGTTGAGTCAACTCCATTAGATTTTGCTCTCCTCTACCAGACACTTGCACGCCTACCTAAAATGCATCCAGTTGAAGAACTTATTCATGAGGCATTAAAGATTTATATTGATTTGAGTCCAGCTGAACTGCAAAAACTGGGCAATAAACGGATCATTAAATATCGTGAACAAAGAACCTTGATCAGACCACCAATTCACCAGTCTTTAAAAAAGTCTACAACTGAACAATTGTTGTGTAGATTGATGCAACATCGGATAACTGTTTTCTCTTTCAGTTTTGTTGTGATTATTATCAGTTATATACTGTCTAAAAGTGTAAATGAATAGAAGTGCTTGTTTATTTGTAAAATGTAATCATAATACCAATGATTTTGACTTTGATATCTTTCTTCTACTTCTTTATCTTCGTTCATCATGAAAATGGTTTAGATTGTTTTTTTCTCATATTTTCTTGTTCGACTTCTCTATGTGTAAATTCTTCTCAGTGGTTCCATTACCTACTAAACAGTGTTCCTTATGCGAAAGCTTGTCTAAACTTAAAAAAAATGTAATCATGAAGATCTGTTGTACTTGGAATTTAAAATTTTGTGATAATTATTTCCGTAAATATAGTGACTCATTCTCTGGAAGTTTTGTTTTGTCTTGCTGTCTGTATTATATCCGAATGAATGATTAACAAATGATGTGTTCACAGTTACTTTCTAACCTACGTTTTATAAGTCGTAAGTAAGTTGTATGACTGTTAAATATTATACTGTAAAGTTATTTGAATTAGTTTGGTCCCAAGGAAGATGATTTCGCAATAAATAGTTGTTTAAACTGGATAGTTTAGTTGAGAAGTTTTTATAATCGTAGTGCACTATCACATCAAGTCAACTACACTTTCCCTCTGTCCTTATCTATCTGTTGTACAATATGTGTAGCTCATTGTCTGGTGCACGAACCTGCACGTAATCGTTAATTTGTTTATCTCAGTTATTTTTAAGGATGAAGTGAAGTGACATGCAAAATACTTATTCAAGCCATGACCACATGTCTATTAAAAATCACTTGTTACGCTTAATATCATGAAAACATATAGCTATGAAATCTCTGGAAAAAACCCTCGTTACCCACCTCTTAGAACTTGTGCAAATCTCATTTTCTAATGAGGTGATAAAGTTATCCGCAAATATTTGAGTATGATTATCCTGTCTTCAGTAATCTCATCCGTGTTCAAACAGGGATACATATTGATTAAGTTTATCGTATGCCGTAGATTCATAGGTTCTTTTCCGCAAATTTTACTTAGATGGTTCCATCCACATATGTTTACGATTGACTTCTGTCATGAATAATCACTTCTTGAAGGTATCAGACTACTGAAATACTATTTATGTACAGTTTTAGAAAATCACACTCCATTGTTTTGACAGACAGTCTCTCTTCTATCGGTGTGTAGACCATGAAATGTTAAATTTATTATACCGCCGCTTGGTTGGCTTATTCAAAGTTTCAGGAATCCGATTTTATAGAAACATGAAATATCTGTATTGTCAGCTGAAAGGGGTGATGGTATCGAAGACTGTATTCGAATTGCAAGGTTCGCAAACGATAATATTTATTTGAATAGCTCCCATACATCTTAATACATTGTTTCACTGGACTTTAAACAGGAGACTCAGTTCGTATCATTCGAGGGTTGATTACTGAGTTGGAGGTGACTGACTTCACTTTATCTTTTTTAGTGTCAAGTAACGACTTTAAGGCATTGTGTTCCAGAAACTTCAATGTCAGCTGTTAATGAGTCTCATTCTAGGACGAAACAGCTGTCCAATGCTCCCAGATTTCCGATGTTTCTCGAACTGATGTCGGTCCATGATTAATACCAACCTGAAATTAATTGGAATGAATTCGACTATTTTTAACCTTTTTGAAATGAGATTACTGGTCGGTTGATATCTCATTGTTTTAGAATGCATTACATCACCTATTCTTGTGAATATGTTTGCACTTAAAGATGGTTTAAGCATTTGCTTCCTTAATCTTATTTTAGAGTTGTAAAAATTATCTGGTCAAAATTTCAGCTTGAAACAGAATATCTTACTTCCGATGAAAATGAAACAATCAATTTGTACTTCAGGAGTATTTTTAACGGGATTGTATTTAATGCTGTTCAATATGGTGAATTCAGATCAAAATGTTGCTATTATAAATAATCCAGTGGGTACTTTTCAACAGTTGAATGCTTGGCCTGATTTCCAAATCGCTGCATTTACAGATTTGAATGCTGATCGTCGAATGGATATCATATTTACTAATGGTGATGGCACGAAATTGTTTGCTGTGATTCAGCCAGGTACCAAAGGATTTCAGTTCGCTTCGTCAACTCCGACCAGTATTAATTTCGCTCCGCCTATTGAAATAATGGGCCATGTATTATCTAAACCTATCCGTAGTGTTGCCACTGCTGATTTTAATGGAGATTCTCGGACTGATCTGCTATTGGTGACTTCTGATTCTGATACTGGGCCTTTTGAGGTCTATATAGCTTATGGCTTAAAAAGTGAAAATCGTGGGAAATTCGGTAAGTTAACAGATTATATGAAACGCTATGAGATAATGTTGTCTACGTGTCCACTCAATTTTCTATGCGTGTAAAGTCATTACCTATACTAATACCAGGCAAGATAAATTGCGCCCATTTTAAAAAATAACTTCATGATGGTAAAATAAATACAAAACATATACATTTGCAATAAACTATGCTTTGATTTATGAAATGCATTTAAACCCATGACTTCATGGTTCAGTATCTTAATTACGCAACTAAGTCTCGTTTTTTAGGGTTTGTATCCCAAAAATGACTTGATGGTGTAATATTGTTAAATGAAATCGACTGCATAAAACTTGGACAAAGCTGAACGGATATATATTGGGGATTGTTATTGTTGTAATCTGAGCAAACAAACATCGAAATTGAGTTTATTGCAAATGTAGCCAAAATACAGTGTATTTTGAAATTTGTAGTTTCATCAACAGTTATAATTACGCTAATGGAATGTATAGGAGATTATCTGATTATATCCATGTGTCAGTAAATAAAAAATGCAGGACTACTTGATGCAGTTTCCATTTATGATTTTAGGCGTTTTTTCTCATGTTATTTGCATTCGGTCTTTTTTAACTTTTGATTGATTGTTGTTGATTATATTCATATGTTAATAGGCCATCACTGGGTTTAGATGCTTGGAATTCGAAAACTGCTTTCTTGTATGCTTTGGTTAACGTAGTTCTTAATAAAGTTGCTCCACAGCTTATAATATTAGGCGCAATATTCTCAGCTGTTGATTTTCTACGACAATGTGTAGTTGAATTTTTTCCTAATATGGAGTCAGCTAATTGGCTTAGATGGTCAAGACCCTATATACTTACTTTGCTAGGTGTTCTGTTATTCCAGTGCTTAACATAACGTTTTTACTTTTACAGTGGATAGTCATTTTTATCTTGGTAATTTTATGAAAGGTGTTTGGGATTCAGTGTTGATTTAGACGCGTAGTATGGGTCCTATATTATTTAGGCTGGATATCATTTTCGTCTTTTTCATTTGACCTACGTCTTATCCAATCTGTCACTACCAATCAAATGAATTTTCTTGTTCATAAAAGTTTGATACTTTTAACAACCTTCCATACTCACAGTTAGACGTGAATGATTTCCTGTACTATTCATTCGGCATTCTCTAAGTTATATCTGTGTCGTTTAACATATTATTAAATCGTTCAGTGTTTCAAAAAGCAATCCCGAGTTTTATCTGTTCCTTTCATTTTTTCCAGTGTTTTTCCCAACACGTTTCCTTTGGTTTTTGAATTCTGTTTTAGTTGCAGCAGGTATAGAAGTGTCGTGACCTAATCCGGTTAACACATATCTTGGTCAGTAAAGCTAAGTATACTCAATCTGTTTTAGAGTATATTCATGTCCTCTTGATCACCTTCCATGTATTTTTTATTGACTATACGTCAGTATAACCCTTTCTGTTCACAGATAAACCTCAGCTTGTGGACACGTTTTCTTCTCAGCCATTGGTTTGCGATTTGAATTCTGATATGATCGCTGATTTATACGGTGAAACACCGAAACGTGAAAGGGTGGCATATTTGGGCGGGTATGTGTAACTCATTTTGTTTGATTTCTTTTTACGATTTTTCTGACCATAACACTTCACAAATATGTGGTATGATTTAGACTGAAGAGATAAGACTCGATGTGAGAAGCTGAGACAGTGATACGAAAAAGCAATAATCGAACGGGTCACATTGGTTGTTTTCTAAAATTTTGGACCACCAACATTTTTTCACCGAATGCATGACATCAAACCGCTCTGTTTTGCTTTGTTTTAATTATCCAGGTGTCAAAATATCACAAAACGTACCCTCACTCATTTTTGAAATGTCTTCAACGTATCGTTAGACAAGTTAACAACAAAATTATGAGATACCACAATTGATGGGAATGGACACCTGAGCACATAACAATACATCATATAGCTACTACAGAAATAGTTAGCTACAATTGTGAATTTTCACAATGGCTGAAGGAACCTCCACTACCAAACTTAAGAAAGCTTTCCCATTCACTTCTCCCCTCCCCCGCGTGCAGCACGTATTCACAAGCTAAACGATAGCTTAAAAAAAACTGATCATTGTGTATTATTGCTTAGCATACTGTTATTATTAACTTTATTAAGCTGCCATGATTACTAGTTCGAAATAGCGTACAAGAAATAAATTCGTCGAAATATTGCACATTGAGAATTCCATACTGTATTAAAAGTTATTGTCTGGAACAATATGATTATGATTATCACTATTGCTGTTATTATTGGTAAGTGGGTCCTCAACCCCGTCCCTAGCAAGCAAAAACAAGAAGAGAAAGAAAAAACTGGAAGGGTTTATTCTCGCTGCAAACTAATGATGATCAGTTTGAAATTCACGCGTTATATTAATATAGGTTTTTGTTAGGCGACTTTAAAGATTAACCACTCAAAGAACAAGTTTATAGAAAGAGATTTAGATTTTCGTGCCGAGAAAAATTTTTCAGAAACGGTACGATTGAAAATCTGTATTTTTCGAGGATTTTTAAGTTGAATTTATAGAAAATAGTTTAGGTAATTAAAACCACCAATAAGGATGTTAATCTAAGCGAGGCATATGCAACTAAGTTTGTAGAATACAGTAAATCCATTTTATTGTGTCTTTTTCGTTTAGCTACATATACACCTGTTAGAAATGATAAACATCTGTGTTTTTACATTAAGCAATGAAATACTCAACAAGTAATTACAAAATTGTTTAAACTTTTAAAGCAACAGTATTGTTGAAATAATTTGTGAGGAAGTTTATGCTGATGTTGTGTAGAATGACAATAAAAGCTTCACGATTTAGCTATCCAGCTCAGAGAGCACAACACCATCAAAGTTGATTATCATCTTCAGTATCAATATTACTTATTAATACAAAGTTATTTGGTTACCTAATAGCTATAAATATCGTAAATATGAGATGTAAGACTTAGTAACCAACTACGACCTGGGTGCATGATATAACCTAGAGGTTCAAACTTTGTTCGCGGTATTAGATTTTGCAAAGGTGGTTAGCGTAATTATCCGTCATGTAATAAAGGTGACTCATAACCAAGCATATAAAACTATTATTGGATACAGTTTCAGTTGTAACTGAAGAGAATCATGATTGAGAGTAGGATTAGAACACTTTTTACCATTTGAAGGACTGATCACAGTTTCAGTCCTAATCCTAGCTTGCTTTATTTGCCACTCAGCTGGTGTTATAGAGTATAGTGTTACCTCTGAGATCATTCAAAGAAACCCATAGCTCCATGAAAACCCTCCCAACCAATCATCGCACACCGAATGATTACAAAAAACCATGTTATCATACTTGTGCCATTCATATTGGGTAATAAAATTAAGTCGATAGGAACCGCTTTTCTAGAGAAGGGTAGAAAATACCGAGGCCATTAAAAACAAACATGTATGTATATTTATATACTCAGTTACATTTTGTACACGTTTTATTTGCGAATAAATTTTTTTATTGTTCTTATGCTCCTTTCTCCTCTCTAAGAATCGAGCTACCTTTAAGGGTCAGTTCTAAGCTTATTGCTCAAAAGTCCATACGTGTTTCACGATACGTCAGTTACCTCGGTGACATTGCCACCCTCACGAACATTATTTGCTATTAATATTTCCACTTTAGGTGTCTATTTATATTTGTATCTGAACTACTGGGAAAATTATGAGTCTTACTTGAAAAAACCCAGATTAAAACGACGTTAGTTTGTAAACAGTTAACGTCATCAAAGCAATTATGCTTTTGAGTAGCTTTTAAGGTGTTAGTACAAATTGTTTTTTATAAGTTTGTTTGGATATTTAACAATCTTGCGTTCATTTATTATGAGGTCAAGCAGCCCATAGATTTTCACGATGGATTATGCTTCAAATATTTTCACTGAGCACTGAATATGCCTCAAAGATATTTCGGTTGTAGGGTTAATGTTTTCTCATAGAAATGACCTCAATAGTGCAGTTATCATGCTTATGTCAACACATTTAGTAGAGGGTAGTAAAGTGACTTTCATGTACAACCAGTTTTCTTTCAAAACTAGTCTGTTTTATTTTCATTCTAATGGATCTCTAGGTTGATAGCTAGAGATAAATGAGATCAGGGTAAAATTTGTGTGACAATGTCTATACTGTAAACACGGAACACTCTCTTAGTCCGCTTTTGCATGAACTTTCTAAAATAATTTTTAGGACTTTTCATGAAATGCATTTCCCGAAACATCTAGGTAATTTTTGTATTGAAATTTTTTGTTTGATAGGCAAATGATTACAAGAGTGTCTGCTTCATATTATGGTCCATCTTGGTCACAACTTGGTTATTCAGCTTTCGGTGACGTCAATGGAGATGGTATTCCTGGTAAGTAAATTAAGTTGTACCTTCACCTTTTACAGGGTTCAAGAATCTGTGAGAATTTTGTTTTAAGTAAAAATAACTGCATTTCATGGAAAAAAACCTTTCCATTTTCCATGCAGGTTGATCTTTATTTCCAGTAATAAAATGAGTCTATTACTCCTTGCAATCTTTTTCGACAAATAATTTAGGCGTTAGCAAAACTGTTGTTTTAAACAGCAGTATGCTCCTACTTCTTCCAAAAAAAGTAACTTTACTATCTGATTAGTCATAAATATATTATTTGTGTGCATATTTGTACTATGTAACATGTCACACACATCGGGGACAAATTTCGTATCAAATTTGTAGAATTGTCTCTATTTTTTGTGCAGTCAACTGACAATTGAACCCACTTCACTTTCAATCTACAAAAAATGCTAACAGTCTAAGGATGTTGAAAATTGAAATTGTTGAAATTAGAAAAAGATGTAGGTGTGTAGGCTAACAATAATATTTAGCTTCAATTCGACCTCAAACTTCACTATGCGTAATATTATCTGTATATATAATCCATTGCACCAATCATTGTGATTTTTGAGGCTGCGGCAACAAGTTATTGAAATATGCAATTATTAATTACCAAGGCGGTAATGCTAATGTTCTTAGTTATACTAGTAATGATGAGTTTGATGAAAACAGCATGGTAATGCGGATATTTGTACAATGTAGGTTAAAACCAAATTCATCAATGCTAAGGGATGTAGTAGTAGGAGTGATCAAAGTCTAAATAAATATGATAGATTAATTTAATGGGCAAGTAGAAGACTCAGTAAAGTTTCTAAGGCAGAATTGATTCTAAAAAAAGAAGCTTATTTACAACTCTTCTAAATTTAAACATAGAA